GGTTTCTCAATAAATTTCCTTGACCCGTCGTATTTGTGTGAACTTTCCTAAGCAGAACAATGTAGTCCGGCAAACTTCAACTGACAACATGGCGAGAAGGGAGCTGGCTCCCAATCATAAACTGACAAGAAGAAAGAAAATAGTGCTAATATTGGGGGTCACCTTGGCGACCATTGTGCTAGTTAGAATTATCCAATCGCCTTCGTCGGATCAAATAAGAACTGCTGACTTTATGAGACAGTGGTGTCGAATAAGACTGGCCCGAGTGGATTGGGAACAAATGTTAAAACCATGCAAAGGTAACCTAGTCTGGGGTGTCAGTCTCCCGGGCTGGGAAGCAGAGCAACGCACAGACCCGAATGAAAGCTTTATTTCTTTGTGGGATATTCGACCGTGTGGTGAATTCAGCAGGCTGAGTATTCGGACTGTAGCAAGCAACGGACGAGAAAAAAGAATCGGAGGAGATTCGTGGCGAGTGCAGCTAAAGGGCCCGGCGTCAGTTGCTGGGACTGTTTTCGATCACATGAATGGGACCTATGAAGTCGTGTTCCTTATCACTGAACCTGGGAATTACCAAGTGGAAGCAATTCTGGATCATTCGCTTTGCGATGGGCTCAGAGATCCGCCTCCAGACTGGTTTATAGTCGGTAAGTTTATCATTTACAACAGCATACTCGTCCTAATTACCTTGGCCACTGTTATCAAACACACACTTATTTTGGGAACCAAGCCGTCAAATAAAGCGGTTTTCAATTGAGTATCGTAAAACCGAAACGAAAGTAATCACTCTAGCCAATCACAAAGGACACAGACAATCCAATGAACCAATCAAAACTCAGAGCAAATACATGTAACTGACATAAAGCGCGGGAAAACGTGTACAAGTGAGTCATAATTGGTTTCTGTTTTACTTCTGATTGGATCAAGAAGTGGCGCGAGATTTTGAGAAAATCGTGTAGCGTCATAGCGCAGAACCAAATACTTTCCGGCACTCAAGTGAAAACTGCTTTATGTGGAAAACAAATATTACAATAATAGTTGAATCGCAGCTGCCCCCTCCCCCTGTCACACCCTTAGAGGAAAACAAGAACAATTCAAATTTAAGCTTCCCGAAACGAACCGGAGGTTTTATAAAACCCTCGTAACATTGCGATCTGATTCGTTAAAGGAAACGCACAAGGAAAGAACCAACAAGAGGGAGTCCTAGGGCCAACAAAGCGTGGCGCTGAGCGGCCGTACATTTTAAAACCTTTGAGGTCTGGTAACCCAATATGGATCAGCATTCGCCCAGTGCCTTTTGGGAAAAAGCCTCTTTATCAAGGTGAGGCAAAAACATACAACTAAAAAACAAGAGTAGACAAATGTGGAATATGATGTTTTTTGATTCTTACAATATAGTGTGAAAAAGTAAGATGTACATCTATGTATCTCCAATTTTTTCAGTTGTGCAGTCTGTGGGCGCCGGTCTCGACTTAACTTGTGGAATTCAATGCAAATTTCTCTGGGATGGCTTTGGTAATTGGATCAGCGGTGTGCAAGGCTCACTGACGTGGAAACCTTTCATAAGTGCAGATGGTAAGGGCAGGATTGTGGCAGAGTCTAATATGTCAATGCATTTTTGCAAGAGAGGACAAAGAGTAATAAAGTTAACCCCCCATACAAGCCTTAGTACCAAGGTAATCCCTCTCAAGTTATTTTTAGATCACTTCGGACTTCAGAAATCCCAGGAGGGTCAAGAAATAGCTAATCCTGTGACGAAGATTTTTCTC